TGTGTGTGTGTGTGTGTGTGTGTGTGTGTGTGTGTGTGTGTGTGTGTGTGTGTGTGTGTGTGTGTGTGTGTGTTTCTGTAAAGGATGAGGAGGCAGAAAGAAAAGCAGTGAGCGAGCTGCACACACACGTCCAGGATTCATAAAGTATTCACATCCCTTCACTTTACACTCACATCTTTTTCAATAAGTCACAGTCAGTGTTTCTTGCTTTTTGCAATTCTATTATTATTATTAATATTATGTAAAAATCAAACACTCCTGTTTGCCATTTAAAAAGTATTCTAAAACTAATTTAGTCTTTTGTAGAAGCTTCTCTAGCAGCAGTGGTAGTTTCCAGTATTTTGGGTAAGAAGTGTATCTTATTCTCCTCGCAGAACCTCAGAACCTTAGTATGAAAGATGAATTCTGTGTCTAAAAACTGAGGCTACTGTAGATGTGCCTTGTAGTCTCTCTGATGGTCAGAAGGAGGTGAAGCCCGTGGCTGCAAAAACACTTCTCTGAAGATCTCCAAAAGTTGATTCTGTTCATCTGGACGTAGCGTTTTGTGGGAGAAATGTTTCGTCAGTCACCCAGGTGACTTCTTCAGTCTCAGCTGACTGCAGGTTTCCCCAAATCTTATAAACAGTACATTTGCACAATGACTGAAACAGCCCACTGAGGAACCCACTGAAACAGCCCACTGAAGGACCAAAGGGTTGGGAGGTTTTGGTCCTTCAGTTCCTTCAGAAACGTTTCTCCCACAAAGCGCTACGTCCAGATGAACAGAATCAACTTTTGGAGATTTGCTTTCCTGGATGGTTGAGAATGCATCAAGACACTTCTCTGAAGACTTTATTCTTTAATCGCCAGGTTTAAGTCTTTGTAAATTCGGGACGACTGTGGAATCAAAAGTTTAATAAATCAGGGTAATGTCATTGGCCAAGCTTAACCTTTAACTTAACACTAAGTTTGACAGCAGGACTGTTAACTATGGCTACGTAAACCTTTAAAATGCTGCCTGTGCTGGGTGCACTGAGGCTCTGGGTGTAACGTCTGGACTTTACCTGTGACGCTGCAGCTGAAGGCACTCCAGTGTTGTCTCTGTGGTACTGAAAGGTGAACCCACTCAGGTCTCTGTGTTTGTGCTGCTGAGACACACCCCTATAGCATGATGATGCCTCCACCGTGCTTAGCTGCATCAGTGGGTTCACTGAGTGATGATCAGTGCCTGGGAGTTTGTGTCTCATCAAATCAACAAATCTCTTTGCACTTTGTCCTTTAAATGCAGTTTGACAAACTCCAAGCAGGCTGTCACGAGTGTTTTACCCACAGTGGCTTCAGTCTCACTGCTGTGCTGAAGCAAAGGCCTGATTTGCAGAGATCAGCTGAGGTCCAGCAGGTTATCTCATCTCTGCAGAGAACGTCTCAGTGCTGTGTGTGTCCTGAAATGAAGCATGCTTTGTTCTTTTCATTCCTATAAATAAGTTATATTTACACATGCAATGCTATGAATGTGTGCTTCACTTAAAGCCATTATGGTGGCGTTTACATGAGAACTTATTCATTATTAATTGGAGGTTTGTAAAACCAGGGAGAAACAAGTGTAACCTTTTCAGAGTTGTTAGTGTGCCTGTAGACTGTTTGGTGGTGTTTTCATTGTTGTTAATAACTTGATTAACAAAATTAATTTGTGGTCTTGTATTTGTCAGTAGCGCGTTCAGGCAGAGAAGCTGTGGTTGGAAATGTGCTGGATTAACTTCAAACAGCCTCATCAGGCACTTCATGCATGGGTCAAGTACAGTTTCAGAGAGCTGCTGGTCTGATGTCTGCTGAAGATGAAGACCTGACACTCCGAGGCTAATCTTTGATTTGATCTGCGAGCCCAGAAAAACGTTTGAGCTGGTTGCACTTCCAGAATCTAGACGTGAGCTGAAGTGCTGTGAATGTTTCACTAAGAGATCTTCTCTTAATCCTGACTATGTAAGAATGTGCACGAGACACCCAGACTACTCAGTTCAGACGGTTATTTTTCACAAGCCTGAGGGGCCATAAAGAGCAAGTAATTAAAACCCAATCTCATTTGCATGAGATCAAATCTGAGCAAATGCTCCTGCGTAAAAGGAGCCATAAAGCCTACACAGGAGAAAGGGAGCCGGGGGACTGTGGCTCAGGTCTCAAGCTTCGTTTTGCTTGGTTTTTTACTCGCTGTTTGATGAAGTTTAAGAAGACGTTCACAGTCTTTACCTGTAGAAAAACTATGTTATGCTGATGCTGACGGGTCTTGATCAACTGTCCATATGTGAGACGTTGGGAGTGAGTACAGATGCATCCCCATTTTAGCAGCACGAAACTAGAAATGAAGATTAAGGAGGGTTAGAAAAGGAATCCAAGGAACAGGCCTGCACTAAATCACGCAATCATGATCGTGATTGCAGGCCATTATTTACAAGATAAAGATCATGTTGCATCAAATATGAAGTGAAAGTAGAAGTTTAGACCATGCATTCATCATCTGTCGATCTACAAATACACCTGCGCACCTAAAGCATCTGTTTTATTATCACACAGCGTTTGGTTTTGAAATCTTTTGTATTTTTTGCTGGTTATTTCAAACAGTCTGTAACTGTAGATTTGGATTTTCACTGTTTTCTTCGTCCCATCTGCGTAACTTTGTGCTGAACATTGGGGGGTTAAGATCTCTGTCTAAATAAATAAATAAATGTGGGTAAATTCCCAGATGATTAAACATGCAACTATTGTGCTGGTAATAACTGAAATGAGCAAAGAAAACCAACAGCCTATTTATGCAAGATAATTCATCATTATACTGGTTGGGTCTGATTATTGGGGGGTCATAACCCCCCCAACCCTCCTGGAAATTACGCCCCTGCTTCCCCCTTGTGACAAAAAAATCAAGTTTGTCATCTGACTTACTGAAGCAGTGAGGGATGAGTCATCCAGCGTTTCTGTTCTGGTCTCCATATTTCCATCAGAACTCTGCACAAAACCTTAAACCATCATTCCAGACAAATGGAGGATTTATTTTATTTCATTTTGCAGAAAGATAAATATTTAATCTTATGTTAATTAACCCCATAATTTCCCTAATTAGTTTTGAGCTCGTTGGCAGCGATCTGAATATAGGTCAGCATGTTTTTCCTTCTTTATGTGCCTCTAATAAACTGACTTCACAGATATGGAGCATCTTATCTGACTCTACAAAGATCTTTTTCTTTTCTTAACCCAAAACCTGCCAACTTCCGTTGGTGACTACTGTATAAGAGGGGGAAAAGAAAATCACTCTCTTAAAAGCTTTCAACACTCTATTATCCACGTAAAGCCTGAATAGCACAAGGACACATTATGAAGAGCGCTCCAGCTCTACAGATCAGCCGTCACTGGGAGTTTTTCTTGGAAAGTGTTCCCGTTTGTCTTGGTGACTGAGCGCTCCTCCTTCCTGCTCGCTGCCTGTTGTAGCAAGAAGCCACATCTCAGTAATTGCTGTCAGCGAGTTAGCCATGTTTTCATTTAGCACCACATCTCCTGGCTGAACGCCTCAATGATCAAAAGGCTCGCCTTCATGCGGAGCTGAACAATCTGCAGCATGAATGTTTTCTGGCTCCTGTTCATCTCAGAACTCTGGAACATACGATTATCTGGGAACGCATGTCGGAGAGGGTTTTCTCCTCGATGCGCTGACGCTGTGGTGCATGTAAACAAACACCTTATCAGATGATGCACAGCACACACACACACACACACACACACACA